TGTTCTCCAGTGGCCTCAGGTGTCCATGGCTGCCAGATCTCATGGCAGAGGGGGCCCTCAGTGCCAGGACAAGGGCAGCTGGGGCCCCAGAGTCGGGACTGTGGAGATGAAGCTCTCCTTTGGGTATCCCCAGTGGGGCCAGGGAGCCTGAGCACTTAGGCTTGGCATCTCCAGCTGTGGCTCAGCCCGCTGTGGCCTTTCGAGGTCCCCCACCATAGCTGCCACTCTGGGATCATGGAACGCATGAAATTAGGGTATCTTTGGATGGCCCGGGGGAAGGGCTAGTGTCCATAACCGGCTGGCATCCGGTTGGCTACGCATCCAGGCATCATAGAACGGTCAGAGGGGCACAAAACACCTCCAGAGTGTTAATTTAAGACTGCAGCATCCCAGATTTTTATGGAATGCTTGGTCATGCAAACCACGTGTGGTTATTTGGCAGTTTGCTCAGGATTCAGAGAGAGTGGAGACTAGAATTGGCGCTGCCTCTCATGGGCATGGGTGACTTCTCCAGGCCTCGGCTTCCTCACCGTGACATGGGAGGGATGAAAAAGCCGCTCCCAGAGATGTGACGGTTCAACTTCCAGTCTCCTGTGCTCAGAGACACGGTTTGGGGGCACCTTCCACTGTCTTCCCCAGAGACCCCAGCTGGGCCAAGTCCTCGTGGGTCCTGCTCTGCACGTGGCTTGCGTTACTGGAGTTTCCTTCTCCGGGTCTTTCTCCTTCCATTTCTTTACTTGAACTTCATGAAATCCCTTCCCAGATACATACCGGCACCCAAGGCTGCATCTTGGGCTCTTTCCAGATGCAAGCCAGACTGAGACAGGCCAGTGCCCATGGCGCCCCGCCCAGACCCCTGCATGTCCGCACTTGCTGCTCTTCCTGTGCTGGTTCTAGAAAAGCAAAGGGCTTCTCATTTGGTTGCAAGTCAGGAAGGTGTCCGCTGGTGCATTAGAGGTTGGGAGTGGCGGGCCCTCCCTGGGCCCTCGAGGGAGACCCAAGTTGCACAAAAGGCTGGCCCAGAGGAGCAGAGGATGGCCTCCTAGTTTCCCAGGGAAGACATAGCTGAGCAGGGAGGGGAAAGCTTTAAACTGATTGGTTGGCTGGTTGATTTTGGTCTGGCCCTGGTAAAAAAGTACTTACAGTACTGCACTCGCACCCCCATCTCCACCCCAGACCTTCAAGGTCACTGACAAACAGAGGCAAACATCTCATTCAACCATTCAACCTGCCTTTCAGGATCTACCCGCTCCCTTGATTCCTGTTTCCGCCAGTCCCTTGACTTTCTCAGAACCAGATGAGACACAGCCTGTTCCCTCCTGGCGTCATGGCCCTTGGCCTGTGCACAGCCACATGGAGCACGCGTTTCTAACCCCTGCTGCTGAGGCTTTCCCGTCCACCTGCGCCGTCCCACTGGCCGTCTCTCGAAAGGGTTCTCTGCTGACGTGCCTGTGTCGTGGGGCTTTAGAAAGCCCTGACTGCTGTCTGGCCTGAGAGACCGCATTTCTGGGCAGCCCCTGAGAACCTGCCCTGTGTTCAGGCGAGGCCGTCCTTCTCTTGCAGGTTCCTTAGCAAGAGGCAGGAGAGGAGTCTTGGGCCCTGGACGGACTCCTGCACAAGAGAGAGTGCAGATGCCATGGGGCTGGAATTTCCTGGGGAAAATGCAAATATGCAGCAAAGAATTTTTTTGGTTCCTGCGGGGAGTGGGGGGTTGCTACTGTAAGCTCCTTGTATAGAGAGGGGAAAAATAGTTTCCTATCAACCCAGAAGCATGATGTTTACCACCATAGACCGGAATAGAACATGTGGCCCGCATCGGCACTTTGCTGGCTACTTTTAAGGAATTCAGTTTTGTCACGCAGCCCAGATGGAGTTGTTGATCTCCTTCTCGGCAGGCTTCTTCCACTGGACGGTCTTCTCTCATCTCTGCCGACCGTCTGCGGCCTCTCTTGCGGTGAGAGAGGACGGGTCTGGGGAGGGCCTCGCCCTGAAGTCCGCTTCCGCTCTCTCCCTATCTGTAAAGGCACGTTCATTGCATGCTTCCTGCCCTCAGTGGCAAGTTGCCGAGGTCCAGTGTTGTAATCCCGGTGAGGAGGCCACCTTGCAGGCTGGGAATCAGGCTCCACGTGTGAGCTGTGTTTCTGCAGCCGCCGGGATGGCGCTCTGTGATGCGTGGGGACTCGATGGCGAATCCCTGACGGAAGGACAGACAGTGGCTTCTGTTTGGTGGTTGCTGCATGCTCGACACAGCCCCGAGCGCTTGATGCATATTGTTTCCCCCACAAAGCGCCCACCGAAGCAGGTACTTGTCTTGTTGATGAGGGAACGTGGCTCCTCGAGAGGAGAGGTGACGTGCGTCATCCGAGGACAGGTCCTGGTCCGTGCAGTGGCAGAGTCCAGCGGCGGTGGGCTGGGACTGGATCTGACGGCCCTCCAGGAGCTGGAAGTGCGCCCTCTAGAGGAGGTGGCAGGGCCTCTACCTGTGGTCTCTGCCCCTTTGCCACCCCCTCCGGGCTTCTGTTCCCCACATGTCAGACCCCTGGGGAGTCAGACTCTCAGAGCTTTGACATCTGCCTTGCATCTGGGCCTTTGGTGGCTGCCCAGAGCCATATGGGGACGTGTGTCAAGGGCGTGGATCTGGCACACGGTGGGGGAGGGAGGGGCGGTGCACTGAGGCTGAGGGTGTTACCAGGCCATGGTCCGTGGTCTTTGACCCTTGCTCCCGTGTTGGGATGGAGGCTCCAGAGAGGTTTCCCTGGGAGACAGAGGCTTGCAGCCAATGGCTGACTTCTGCGGAAGGTTGGGATGGAACATTCTTTTCCAGAACTTTGGCTTTTTCCTCACATATTTTGTAAAACTTCATTCCCCCTTTAACATCTTATCTTTCTGCCAAATCAGGCTCCACGTTCTTAAAAGTGATGGCACCAGTTTTTCTGAGCAATCCAGATCTTTACAGACCTGAGTCAGGTCCCTTCAGAAGGGGCCATCTTTGGAGGTCACCGGCCATGACATTCTGACCCACAGAAACGGGACAGGTGCTGAGGTGACATCAGGCTGATGTCAGATGCTCCTGGGTCCTCTGGGTCTTCCTCTGGCCTTTCTGAGCATTTTGGTGTTTTGACTTTCTGGACCTGAGGGGAACACGTACATGAAAAATGAATGATACTCCCAGCAGGCATCGCCCCAGAAGATGATGGAGAGAGCAGTACTCTTGGCTGGACCCAATGTAGCCTTTGGATTGTTTGAAGAGTAAAGGTTTTCTTGATAAGTATCTTTTTTGGGGGCGGGGAAGGAAGACCGTAGAACCGTCTGAAATGATTCATTAATTGGCACTCAGTCCACTAAATGTTTTTTGTATTTCAACTTGCTTTTTAAAGTCCAAACTAAGCGTCCTTCCCCTGTCCCTTCTCTAATTTTTGTCTCTTTGTCATTCAGTGACTCGTTAGTGTGTCCATTCACTCATTCGTCATGGCTTATTCTGCACCAGACTCCAGAGACAGAGCAGGAAGCAAAACTAGACACAGTCCCTGCCCTTGCTAATAGACCAGCATATGTTACATGCTCGTGGTGCTGCACAGCACAGGTGTGTGGACTGACAGTAGGGGCTGCTCGTGCTCCGCCCAGGCCTTCTTCCTGCAGGTACACCCATCTCCCAGCTGTGGGGTTCTTGACTGCGATGGCTCATAGCTGATGCCTTCTCTGGAACATTGCTCCTGGAAGCCTGGTTCTCACACCCCAGTTGGTCCATCTGTAGCCAGAGGCTAACCAGCAGTATAAAAGGTGGCTTCTTTTCCCAAGGTGGGGGCCATGATTTGTGTAGTTCCTGCTGCAGAGCTCCCCATGGGATCAGACTGAGCCAGCCTCTGGCTAAGAGGGAGGACAGCCTTACTTAGCTCCTTCCTCTGCCCTATCCTGCTTCTCCCTCCGCTTTCCCTTTAGAGCCCTCCCCCAGTATATCATGTACACCTGAACCCCTGCATCAAGCTCTGCTTAGAGGCAACTTGACCTAAGATGGGTGTTATCAGAGCCCACCAAAGGAGGCATTGATTTAGGTGGGGAGTTCAGGAGAACCAAAAGGGGAGATGCCAGAGCTGAGATTTGCAAGATTAGTGGGAGTTAATGAGACAGAGATGAATGGAAGGGTGCTCCAGGAGGAGGGAACAGCACATGAGCTGAAGGCGGCAAAGAGGCTGGTGTTTCAGGAGTAGAGAGAGGGAGCTCAGTGTGAGAAGAAGCTGAAGGGGCCAGAGGCATGAGCAGGTAGCCTTCCTAGGCCCTGGTAAGGATCTCTCCAGTTGGTTAGGAGCGCCACCCCTCACTCCCACCCCCAGGTACCCAGCCAGGGCCTTGGAAAGAATTGGAAGGAGGAGCCCAGCATGGTGGGAAATGCTAACTCTGGGGTCAGGAGTCCAGAGTTCCCGCTCTGTTTTATCAGTTAGGTGTGCTGTCGCTCTCTGGGCCCCAGAGTGGGTGAAAGTACTACCATGGTATTTTTGCATTCTTAGAGTAGTGTTGACTGACAAGTGTACATTGTCTTTATTAAGAGTATTTCTTTCTTTCTTTCAATTTAATTTACTTTTATTTAATTTCAGTTAATTAATATATATTGTATTAATGGGTTTCAGAGGTAGAGTTCAGTAATTCAGTAATCAGTTGCATATAACACCCAATGCTCATTACGTCGCGTGCCCTCCTTAGTACCCATCACCCAGCTACCCCATCCCCCCACACACCTCCCTTTCCTTGACCCTCAGTTTGTGTCCTATGGTTAAGAGTCTTTTAGGTTTGTCTCCCCATCTGAAGGAGAGTTCATTTCCCCGGGTGTTCACAATAGCACGCTTCCTCTCCTGTAATCTCCAGCAAGCACCTCAGAGTCCGGAGTGCCATCCCTGGGGACAGGGGACGCAGAGGGGGCAGATGCTGCTTTGCAGAAGATGGTTGAGCTCTCCCCATGGGACGTATGTGGAAGTAAAGGCATTTCTCTCTCTCCTTCTTTTTAGGTAAAAATAGCAACAGAAAAGGCGTGAGAACCAAGAGCTCTGAGAAGGCTGCCAATGATGATCACAGCGTTCCCGTGGCCCGTGACGATGTCAGAGAGAGTGAGTGAGGCTCTGTGGAGAAGCTCCTGCTGGTTCCATCACCCACCCAGGGAGGGCGGTGGCCCCTGGAGCAACTGGCAGCCGCAGATGCCCCCTGGGGCTGCCTGGGGTGGCTGGCAGCCTCTCTGGCCTCTCCTTTTGCCATTACCATTTGGGGGTGCAGACGTTCCCAGCCGCCCTGTCCTCTGCAGCCACAGTCATCCACATCTTTTACCCATTGGCTCAAATGAAGTCATTTCTGAATCTCCCAGAGCCCTGGGTTGCCTTCCTGGACCCTTCCACTTCCCCCACTCCAACCCCAAAACAATCTCATTTCCTTTCTTGTGGGGCCTCAGAGCTGCCCATGTATATTGCATGTACATTTCTTATCTTCCAACCAGACCCTGGGGCCTCTGGAGTCAGAGTAAGTTTTCCATTTACAAGCCCCATGATGCTGGTCTTGGGGTCTTACTCCCTTGTAAAAATATTAGTCTTTTAATTATTTACTTTAGAATGGTCGAAGTCATTACTCCTAGACTCCTGGGCCAACTCTGGCCCGTTTGGAATAGCTCTTACTAGACTGACTACTAGCATTATGATTATTGTCTGTGACGCTCTGGTATCCAGGATCACATGTCTGCAAACGCTGATAGTGTTTGTAAAATGCTTCTGCTCTCCGTGGCTTCAGGTCAGGCAAGGGGTCTCACCTTTGGTATCGACCCATGCCTCTCTGTGTGTGGTGGACATTCCTGGTGTCATCATCAACATTGTGAATCTTTTATGGATAAGGAGGACGAGACTTGGTAGTTTGTGCCCTTTGCCTGTGGTTATGCAGCCTCTAAGTGGCGAAACGGGGATTTGAACCCAAGATTTTCTGGTTCTAGGCTTTCTGCTCAGGAGGACAGTGGCTTAAATAAACACAGCATTTCACAAATTTGCATTTCTGGATGCAGGGTCCGTGGTCAGCTGCCGTGTGAGCCCGTGCACTATGTCACAGCCTCGACTGTCCTAAAGGGAATGCTCTGTTCCCTTAGGCAGTGGTTGGGGTCTGTGTTTCTAACCAAAAGCTCACCGTCAGAGCCATCAAAGGTATGATTAAGAGTGCGTCCTAAAATAAACATGGAAATTCAGCAATAGTCACATTCTGCAGTCACTTAACAACCGAGCATTATATTCTGTCTTAAAGTCTCAGGCCTGCAGGGTACCCGTGGGCATCGCGGCGGGGTGGGTGGGGATGTTGAAGACACGTGATGTGGGGCTGTGTTTCTGCTTATTCACCTGCTGAACCCTGGTGACCTTTGGGGTCTCAACAGATGGGTGGTAATAAAACTCCCACCTCCGGTGGGCCTTGGGCATGACTTCTGTCCCCTTGTCCCAGCAGGCTGACTGGAAGACCAGCTGTTCCTCCAGGACCCCAGATGCCCCAGGGCAGGGCAGCTCCCAGTGCCGGCCTCTGTGCTCTGGGCTCTCACTCCCATCCTACTTGGGCCTCAGAGTCCCTTATTGTCTTGTTAATATTTGCATGCTTTAAACATTGAAAAAATATTCTGTCTAGTCTTTTTTTTTTTTTTTTAGCTTCAGCACAAGGGTTGGTTTGAATTGTTTTAGTTATTGCCAGAATTGTAAGTTATTAATATTTGGGGAAGCATTTTCAAAAAGAGTTTTCAAGGCCCGTTTATTGACACACACACACGAACACACATATGCTACCCCACGCAGAATTGCTCCCCGGGCCTTGGCCTCAGAGCTCTTTCTGAAGGGGCTGGGGTCCCTGGTCTCCGAGACAGCCACTGTGGCTCTGATTCACTGAGTGCTCGACGAGTGACTCTGGTCTACGAAATTTGTTTACATTGTTCTTTTGTTAAAACAAGCTTGAAAAATCGGGATGACGCTGGAGGGCAGAGATGCCATGGGGGGCTGTGAAATGCAATATGGAAGGGACAGAGGACTGTGGCTGGGGAGGCAGACAGCACAGCAGTTAGGGACGCTGGCTCGGGTGAGGCAGGGGCGCCTGGGGCGTGGTGCTGGGTGGAACGGGGCCTCAGATCCACAGCCGGGCGCTCTCAGGACCCTGTGCTCAGCCTCCTCTGTGTCTCTGCTCTGGTCTCCCTTGGGGGGCTTGCTGGAGAGGTGGCAGCATGAAGGGGTTGGGTGGCCAGTGGAACGGACATCCCCTATATTGTGCCCAAGGTGGCAGATGGAGATGTGACCCGCTTCGTTTTCAAGGTGGTGGGTGGCACAGATATTAACACCCCCCCACACACACACTGGTTATGTGAGCAGATAACATCTTGAGTTTGCATCAGACGCAGACTCTCCCTTACGAACTTTCGCTTTGAGGGCGAGAACGCATAACGGACTGAAGAGCACCGTCCGCTCGGGCAGGTTCCGAAATGCATCTTGGATGTTGTCTCAAAGTCACTGGCACAGCCGGCTGACTTATTGCTCTAGCTCTTCCCCTCTCCTTGGGTCCAGCCCTTTGCCGTGTGACTCTTCCATGCCCTCGCTAAAAGGTCAGGGCCCCTTGGCTCCGGGCCGCGTCTGCAGGAGTGCGGGACCGTGCCCAGGGGCCCGCTGTGAGCTGAGGACCTGGGAGAACTTGCTTGTTTCTATTCGCTTCTCATTTCTGGCCTCTGCCTCCTGCCCCCCACCCCCCCCCCCCCAGCCAGATGGGCTAGTTTCTCACACCGTGTCCTGTGCTGAAGCCCATGGTTCACGTGTTTTCTCCAAAGGGACCTGGAAGAGTGTCTAAGCGGATGGCGGAGAGGACGGCTTTGGGTCAGGCTCTACTCTCACTGCCCGTGCGACCCCGGACAAGTTCCTCCGTTCTCTGGGACTCCCTTTCCTCCTCCACCAGAGTGGGGAGAGATGCCTTTAGAGGGCTATTTTGAAGACTCAGGATTGTCTGAAGGGTACAGCACACAGCCCACAGCAAGCCCTCAGTGAGAATTAGCGATGCCTTTTATTTGCCATCTGTGTGGTTCTTTTTTTTTTTTTATTTTTTTTGTGCCTCAGTTAGAGGACTTGGCAGACATTTTTAAAGGATCAGATCATAAATACATGGTTTATTGGCCAAGAAGCAAAATTGAGGATATTATGTCATTACTTAAATAACCATTTAAAATGTGATCATTAAAAAAATACAAAACGGGCACCTGGGTGGCTCAGTGGTTAAAGCCTCTGCCTTCGGCTCAGGTCATGATCCCAGGGTCCTGGGATCGAGCCCCACATCGGGCTCTCTGCTTGGCAGGGAGCCTGCTTCCCTGTCTCTCTCTCTGCCTGCCTCTCTGCCTACTTGTGATCTCTGTCTGTCAAATAAATAAATAATAAAAATCTTAAAACAACAACAACAACAACAAACTATTCTTACCTGTTCGGCCATACAGACACAGGGGGTGGCCTGGACCTGGCCATCCCAGGGGCTGAGGTTTGCCCACCCTGTCTCAGAACTTCACTTTTCTGCAAACACTGCCTCCAGGAAGACTGCCCTGATCACCTCTCTTTCATTTCCCTACACCTCCTCCTCAGAGTCCCAGTCCCTTCCTGTCTCACGTCCTCGTGATCCCTGCAGGCAGCTCTTCTCCTCTGTGAGGCTGAGTAGTCAAGAGCTTAGTCTCCCCTGCCTCTTCTCAGGAGACACCCGGACTTGGAGCAGCACTCGACAACACTGGCAGGCTCGTTTATTGAACACCTGCCCTGTGTTGCACTAGTGTTCTGGGCTCCAGAGCAGGTGTTGGACGTACGTTCCAGTGGCTTCTTCACAACCCAGAAGGGCAGGGCTGGCCTCCACAGGAAAAGCTCTTGGATCTGTAGGGGAGGAACGTGATGTCCCACCATCACAGAAGTAGAATGGTTTTCCCCAAGTGATGCACGTTGGTGAACGGGAGCTTCCTCATGCCTGGGCTGGGTGAGAATCAAGGCATCAGCCAGGTAGCATGCTTGGGGATTGACCCCCCTAGTGTGTGCGTGTGTGTGTGTGTGTGTGTGTGTGTGTGTGACACTTGAGAGTTTTTCACTGTAGCAGAGACAGTTTGGTTTTTCATCCACACCCATGTTGTGAGCCTTTCCCCGGTGTTGCCTGGCTCGGTGCCTCTCGGGGGCTCAGCTCTGGTCTCCCCCGGACACCTGGCACAGCTGTTGAAAGCAGGGGAGGGAGTCCTGGCTGACCTGGAAGACGCTATGATACACAGTCACATCTCTGGGGGTATTTCAGATCCTTCTGTAAGTGGGAGGGGTGGCGAGGAGCCAAAATTGAGACAGGGTCACATGCATCTTGGACCCGCCTCTCTTGGGAAGTCTGATGGATGTGGGCAGTTGGGACACCAAGGGCTCCTTCCCACCTGGCTAGCTCCCCCACTTTCCACTGTGTCTCAAACATGCCTAGAAAGTTATTCTTCAGTCTCTAATGTGAAATGTGTCTCATGAGGATTTTCTGGCCTGCCTTTGCAATGGAGAGAGATTTCTTTTGTTCTTCCAATGGTTTTGTGGCAGGGCCTTCACTGGGTTCGATTAGGGGTCCTGGCCTGGCTGCTGCCTGCGAGTGTAAAGTGAGTTCTGTTAATGCCGTGTGGGCAGGGTGGCGAGTCTGGGCCACAGGCTGTAGAAGCTTTGGTTCGGAACCCGGGCCATGGTGGACTTGCTGGGGTAGAAATACCTCCCAGAGAAGGGGTCAGGGCCCAGAGCTCTGATGTGCTCAGGAGCACCTGTGGGCTCCACTCATTTCCATCACCCAGCTGACCCCGGGGTGGGGGTTTCTGGGCGACCAAGGTAACAGGAGTCCATTTATAGAGTAGAAATTCTAGCGGCACCTTTTCTGAGTCCGTGTCGCCGAGGCCAGCACACGTGCTTCTTGTTGCTGGTGGGACTTTGCTCCTGTGACAATCTGCCCATCTTCTTTCTATCTTCTTGGCCCTTCTGCGACGAGATCCTCTTCTTTACTTATGGGTTGCTGACTCAGGATGGAGTTAGCAGAAAACCGAATTTGCCATGTCATACCCTAAAACTGAAAAAAAATAATTAGA